CTCCCAAGCGGTGCACTGTAGCAGTGCGCCACCGGGCCGGCCCTTTTGTCTGGAATTTTAAATCCAAAACTGAGAGATGATAGATTTTAAAACACATACACAAAATAATTTGAAAACCAGGACTCTTGGTTTCTATTAATGCAATTGAGCATATAGTTAATAAGAGGCAAGTCTAAATTTTGTAATAATGTGGTACTTTTTGGTTCTGTCAATTCAGAAGTAATCTTAATTTAGAAAGAAATATATAAACTAATCATTAGACGGAAAAAAAAATGTTGCCTCAGAGTATCTGCCATGATTCAATACAAATAGAAAGTAGTTTTTGTTGTTTTATGTTCATCTACACACACACTCACATGCACACACACACTTTTGCTAAGTATTCTTAGATCTGGAGCCTTAACTTGAGTGGGCTAGAAATATAATGTCTGTGGTATGTACAGCTTTTTAACAAATTTGAAAACATAGGAATGAGTATTAAGATAGCCATCTAGTACCTACCTTCCATTTACTTTGATCTGTTCCCAAATATCCACTAAAGGCTTTTTTGCCCCAAGGACAAAGCACTGGGTTACAAATTGGAGCGAATGCTGACACAGACTTCAGAAACAAAAGAAATTAAAAGCAAGTTAATATTTTGCTAAATCAAATATGAACAGATGCTTTCTACTTGCTTAAAAACTGAGATGTATTTGTCCTTTGCTTAAAAGCTCTGACTTCCCACGTAAACCCCTGAGAACAATTTTACTTTTGATATATTACAGGCTTAGACTGTAGACCTCCCCATAATACATCTTTTGTGTGTTCTATTAAGAGAGCTAATAAATATAGGTGCTAAAATAACCTAAAGCAATGCACTACAATTTAATTAAGTAAGGCATGAATGGAAGTTTAAGTTCAGAATTTCTATTTCCTTTTTCTACTGAAAATTAATCTGTAGTAATATAAAACAGTTCATGCCTACCTTACTAAACATGTTATTAAATTGGAGACATTTCTCTTAAACAGTACCAAGAAACAAGTGAACAATGCCTTTAAATATGACAAATTTTAAATACAATTTTGAGTTTTTACAGTGTTTTCTCACTGGGTAAGGTTCAGAGTTGGAATCTCTCAGCTTCAGAGTACTTACCAATGTATATGTTAGGAATGTTTATTAGTTTTAAAGGACAAAAAATTCAACTAAGTCTGCTTTTCTACTCAGACACAATAAATTGAGTGCCTTATGTACAAAAGAAAAATAAAACTCTTATTTAAAAACCCACTGTCAGTCATTCCATGAATCAGTACAATTTTACCAAAAGTAAAATATTTAGTGCCACAGCAAAAAAACTGCTATGAGAAATATTTTCATTTCTCAGTAGCACATGTGAAATAATTAAGAAGTCCTTCCTAAGAGAAGGAAATGGATTAAACAAATCTCGAGGTCACAAATAGCCCTATGATTTTAAAGACAGAAGCAATCTTAAGATAAGCATTGCTTAGAAATTTTCTTTGTCAGCTCTTGTAATACACTGCTCTGCACAGTACGACCTCTACATACATATCGTGGTTATTCAAACTTGGCTCATTTAAACAAACAAAAAAGAAAAAGTGCAAAGCTTCAAATAAAGAACAGGAAAGGCTAAGAGTGATGTTTTTCAACCAAGCCGCATTTCAATTTTCATTAGTGGCATTAAGAACATAGAAGGTTCTACAAATCATGGATATTATCTTCTACCTCAGAATACTAAAGTCAACTTTACAAAGACATTTTTGTTAAAAATATAAATGTTAGATAAAGCCACAATAACATTAACCAAGAATAATATAACCGTTAGGGGAAAAAAAAGAAGAATGTGTTCAAAACTATAGTTTGAATATTTATTTGTATTTTTATTAGCTACATTTATTAGCTCTCAACAGAACACACAAATAAAAGCAATAAAAAAGATAACCTTACATTTCATAATACGTCTAGTAGGCTAACAAAAAAACCACTCAGATGGAATTCCTGTGCTGCTTATTCTGAGCATATATTGCGTGGTCAAATTCAATAAACGCACCACCCCCCCCAACACTAGAAGTGTTTAGTTCCAATACTAAACCAGCAATATTGTAATTTCAATCTTTGAATGTTCCTAATATTATTCAAAAGGAATATTTATCCCTAGAAGCTTAGGTAATCTCACTTTGTATTTTCCAGGATTTTTCAAAGCACAAATCAGAGCTCCATGGCCTCCCATGGAGTGGCCAAAAATAGACATCCTTTGAGGGTCCACTGGAAAATTAGCATTTATGAGTTGGGGAAGCTGAAAAGGATAGTATGAAAAAAAAATCAGAGAAAATAAGTTTAGATTTTTTCAAAGTTATATAACATAATTACACATTCAGTACTTCCAAACATCCTTTGAGGGTCCACTGGAAAATTAGCATTTATGAGTTGGGGAAGCTGAAAAGGATAGTATGAAAAAAAAATCAGAGAAAATAAGTTTAGATTTTTTCAAAGTTATATAACATAATTACACATTCAGTACTTCCAAATCACAGTCTTACAATAGTTTGAAGTAGTAAAGATAAAAAAAAAAAAAAAAAAAACCCAAACCAAGTAGGCAATGGCTATTAATATATTACTGGAGAATATATGGTACAGACTCCTTAGAAAGCAACTTTAGGAAGACAATGCAGAGAGAATCTTTAAAATGTTCTAAACTTTTGACCTAGTAATTTCACTTCTTGGAATCTATTCTAAGGGAAAAGTTGTTAGGGGAAAAAAATATGAACAAACTTCATCAATGCAGTAATATTTATTATGATAAAAAATATATGCAAAAATCATAAATATCCTACATTAGGAAAAAGTAAATTATGGCATATGACAGAATATTATCAATTATTAAAGTGAGAATAATATTGGAAAATATTTATTTTTACAACTAAAAAAAAATGAACAGGATAAAAAAATCTTACAATCATGTGAAAACTAGTCATAGAAAAAAGTCTGGAGTATGCCAAAACAATTGTTGTTTGCAGTAACAGAACTATGGGTAATTAAAATTTTCCATTACTGTTTCAGTTTTTATGATGTATATTAACAATTTAAAAATCATATAAAATTTAGAAAAAAGGCATAAATTAGCACATAAAGATTATTAATAGAAGTAATGCTTTGCCACTTAATCCTTTCTAACTAAGCCTTGGTTTATCACTGTAAAATATATCCAAATGAACCAGCTGCCAGGAAAGTTAAAGGTTTTTTTCATATACTATTTTCTTTGATAACCTGGGTAGTGTACACAGGTCTCAATATATTTATTAATCTCTTTACAATTGTACTTAAGTTTAATTCAAATCACAGTAAATAGACTACAGTACTAGTAAATTTAGGAATTTTCAGTAAGACAAATTTACAAGTATGTACCAAATATATTAAAAAATACCATACCCTAATTTAAAATTCTTAGGAGTATGAGGATTTTGTGTCCAGAATCAAGCTCTTGCAGTCATTAGTTAATAATTACAATACAAATTAAATTACCTCCTCTGTTACATAAGAGTACATTCTGTAGTTAGTTTTCCAAGGTTCTTCAGTGGCATCCACATAAAAACCAGCACCGGTGCCAAAGTCCCAGCTCTCATCTTCTCCTTTAATACTGCAGCCACCTAGCAAGGACAATCCTGTGGTTTCATCTACTCCTCAGTAACAGCCCATGTTTAATAACACACTTTCAGATAAATCTGCAAGTCCATCTGCATTAGAGCTGTTCACCAAATATTGAGAGCTCTCTGCCTGTTGGGGCACATGGTAGGATTATAATTCCTCACCCTCTTGTCCTTGAATGGGGCCATGTGACCAGTTCTGGACAATGAGGTGAGTGAGAGAGGGAACAACCTTTCAAGCTGGAGCATTCAGCTGCCAAGGTCAGGCACACTAGCTTTCTTTGTTGATGAAGTTCCCTCCAATATATTCTGAACATATACTTCCTTATTCTGTTTTACCTGCCAAAGGGCTTATATCGTCTTTTTTATCTTTCAGAAATGTGTTGAGATCCCTTCCCTGATGACCCTCCCCCATTGTCAACACTTCTTTTAGTTCTCTTTATCATCATGGTTTTAGACAGGAAAGGAGACCATTGTGGTTTTAGATCGGAAAGGAGACAAATTCTTGAGCTTAATTCACTATCTTGAACTGTGTGAGAAAATAATCTAAGTGATTCATTTTCAGAAATAATTCAGGCCCAGCTCGAAAGTTGTCTTACTGGCCCAGCCCATTCCTGGGGGGTCGCTGAATAGATAAAAAGTTCTCCTTGAGATGGTAATGAGTTAATAGCCCTTTATTGTTCTCTTCATTTCCTAAT